GTGGGTCTGAGTGCCTGAGGTAAGGCCGGTCGTACATGTATGAGGACCCCAATTCGGGCTTCCCTTCGTCCTTGCCGAGTGCGGCTTAGAACCTCATCACGTCTTCAAACTTGATCCATCATCTTAATTCTCAGATCCTTCTTATCATATCCGATCAATTAACTATAATTATGATCCGTCACTGTTGAGATACCTATGTCTGAAACACCAGAGCCTAAAGGCTAGCGACTTCGGCGTTCTATCGGAGCCTCAAGGGCAATACCGAAGAACGCACGCATTACATATATCTGCGACGAGTTACTAGTTACTAATAAGGCGGATCTTTACTAATATTTTTAGTTGCCGAAAATACTACGCTCATAAGGTAAAATATTCGGGCGGCACGCCTTATACTAACTGCCTCTAGGCTAATATTAGAGCTAAGTGCTCTTATCTAAGATATATTAGGCGAGTAAAGGTCGATCAAAGGTATAGAAATAAGTCAATAGTCCCTTGAGATAATAACTAATTATAGGCTAGCTATATCGATAAATTATTAGAAGAGATTTATACTCTTAGAAAAGCGGTTTATACCCCTTAAGTTACTAACTTAACCTCGTCTCGGCGTCACGAGACCAAAGCTCTATCTTTTAACTCAGATAGCATTACTATCAACTAGGAATCGCCTACCGCCTCTATTATAAATATAGACACGGGCGCATTATAAGCTAATCCTAAATTAACTATCATTATTAACTAGATAAGACCTACCTTAGAGACCGATAACTCTATCTAAAACCCGATTCTCGAGGACTATCCCTAGTTCTTCTTATTAACCCCCGAGATGCCTATGCTTATCGAAGAAGCCGCAGATATACTATTTGCCACTAGATTCTATTAAGAATTATCTAGAAAATCATAATAATATATCCCACGTACTAAAAATATAATAGATAAAGTATTAATATTATTATAAAATACCCCCTATCCCTAGCCGCCTATATTAAAAGCCCGCTTCCTACTTAAGGTAGTACTAAATATAATATATAAGCGCTACTATCTTATTTAAAGGAGTGCTACCTAGCGTTTATTAGAGCAAGCTATTTATAATCCCGGCATATATAATCTTACATCTAAGTATAAGCTCTTTATCCTATTTGCATTAGGTAAAGTTTACTTAATAAGGATATTACCTACTAAGGATAAGAACTAACTTCTTAGTATTTCATATTATATACGCGCTAGCCGGTTCCTTTAGGTTCTTATAGAATAGTGAGTTAGGGGAAAAGCGTGCTAAGCTATTTTAGGCTACTAAGCAATTTCTTATATATAGAAAAAGGAGGCAGAGGTCATAGAGCCTTACCTTTATTATTACTTTCGCGGGCCTCGACGAGAGGACTTTTAGGCTTCTTCGCGGGTTATATTTTTATTGCTATGAATTAATTAATTACTCTTATTATTTTATATTATATTTGCCTTATAGGAAAGTACGTGAGATCTCTCTTTTAAAAAGACCTTAAAAAGAATATATAGAAATTCGATTCTTTTAGCTATATAGTTTAATATATTCTATTCCTCTAATAAATCTAATGCCCCTATATAGGATTTTTAGTACTCTTATCTTTCTAGATTATTAGTATATATTAAGAAGGATATATATTATTTAATTAGATAAGAAAGTATATTTCTATGCTATTAATTAATAAACTATAAATATAATTACTATTATTAGGCTATAAGAGAATAAAATATTAGAAATTATTATAAATAAGAAGAGGGTAGGAATTAGAGAGACCCTAAGAAGCTATTAATTAAAAAGGGAGACTAATTATGAATATATCTTACCCTCCCTTAACCCTAGGTTTAGAGATATTATTTAATTAAATTCCCCTTAAGAATTAAGATTAAGATAGATCCTTAGAATACCTTACTAGAGGCAAATATAAGGAGATAGAGGTATCTACCTATTACTAATATAGAGGGAGATTATAGTAATAGCGTATTATTAATATAGAAAATAATATCTCTTAATAAGACTAATAATTTAGCCTTACTTAAAGTACTTAAAGGACTCTTAACTAAGCGATAATAAGAAGTCTTAGTAATAAGAATTCTTATTTAGATAGTTATAAAGAGCGAGGCTCTTATTACTCTTATCCTTATCTTTATGACTTTTAAGGAAACCTCGGTAGCTAACCTATTCTATATTATAATAACTAAGAATCTAAAAGTAAGAAGCTAGTTTTACTAAGAATTAATTAATTAAATACCTATTATTATAATTATTATTACCTTAATTATAAAGATAGCTTAAAATAATAAAGGTATTAACTTCGAAAAAAAGTCTAATAATATCTAAGGCTAGAACCTAGAGATAAGAAATAATAAGGCTACTAAAAGTAATAATAAGGTTAATAAGCTCCTCCTTAAATTCTTAATTAAAGGATTAAATAGTCCTTTTTTTACTATTCCTCTTAATCCTCTCCCCCTCTTTAAGAGAAAAGATATAACTAAGTACCTTAGGAACTTTAATTAATAGGTAGAATTTATAAATATCTCTAAGGATAAAAAGGTAGCTCTCTTTAAGTTATATATTAATCTAGAGATTAAGAGGGAGGCCTAATAAGCTATAGATAGACTTAGCTAAGAAGCCGCCTAAGAGAGCCTAAAAGAAGCCTTTATAAATAAAGATTCTAATTAATTAGAGATTATTAAGGAAAAATTAGAAATACTTAATAAGACCTATCTAAAGGTAGACTTCTATGCTATTATTAAATAGCTAAATAAGTATTAATACCTCTTTAGGTAAATTAATAAGAGCTAAAAGATATCTAAGACTTAGTCTAAGGCTATTTATAAAGTATTCCCTGAGGAGGTTATTAAGGGTATTTACGAAAGATATAATAAAAATATCTATAAGCTTATGACTATAGAGTACTAGGCGCTTACCTAAATAATTAAATAATATTATAAAAATAAAATTAAAATTTAGAAAACTTATTATCCTTAAAGCGAAGAGGATATCTATAGAGTTATATAGGCCCTAATTCTTCCTAGAAGCCTAAGCTCCTCTATAAAAGCGATTAAGACCCTAAAGATCCTTAAGAAGGAATCTAATAAAGCTATAGCCTTAAAGATTAACTAATTAACCGCGTAGCTTAGCTAACTTATAATTAATATAATAAAAGGGTAAGAATCCTAATTATATTTAACTTAGATCCTCGAGAGAGAATATAATAGATAGGTAGCCTTAGGAATACCCTAAGTATTTAGGACGAATATAATATTACTTAATTAGATACTAAATAGCTAAGATTTCTATATTATTATAATATATAGGTCTAGATAAGGGAGTTCTAGGGCTAATATAATATACTAATATTATATAGGTAGAAACTACTTCCTAGATACTTATATAGATCTAATATATAATAAGAAAGAGGAAATTATAAGCTATAATTTATCTAGAGGGGTAGCCTTACTTAGAAAGGGGGATATAATACTATTACCTATGCTTATATACCTTTTTAAGTAATTCGGAGTTAAAAAGCTTATTTATAATTAACTAAAGTATTTCCTAGAGTCTAAGCTAAGTTATTTAGCTAATTAGCTCGAAAAGTATAATAAAGTAGGCCTTAGGCTCGAACTAACCTAGCCCGAAGATAATATTATTAATAATTTCTTTCGGAAGAACCCTAGGGTTATAGAGCTCTATCGACTAAAGTATAAGGCCCTTAATAGATTTAATTAATTACCTATAAGTATAATTAGAGGTGACCGAGATATCTTGGATAGTTAGAACCCGCTATAAGGGCCCTCTATTAATATTATCCTAGTTAATAAGGAGCTAGTATTATTTAATTAGATAGATACCCCTTAGGTCCTTACTATAATAATTATTATTATTAATATTAATGCGAGGAAGTAGGTTTATATTAAAGATATTATAGAAATATAGGAAGCTATATAGCCTATCTAGAAGGTAACCCTAACTAAAAAGCCCATAGTTATAAAGAAGGAGAAGAACCTAAGATTTTAGATACTTAAAGAAAAATAAGCCTCTATTTTATAAGAGCTAAGAGATAAATATAAGATAAAGAAGATCTTAATTCTAGCCGATAAGCTATTTATATTACTACCCTAGCTAAGTAAAGAAATAAGCGAGGATTATTAAGATATTACTAATAATATTAAGTAAATTACTTATATTAAACCTATGCCTTATATAATTAATAAAAAGCGAGAATTATCTAATTAGAAGGCTAATAATATAAATATAGTCTAAGTTAGTAAATAGGACTAGGGGGAAGCCTATTAGAAATTAATTAGCGAGAGAATAGGCATAAATATAATCCTTATTAATAAAGAAACCTAGACTAAATAATCTAATAATTATATAAGTAAGCTTTAACTTAGTGATTATATTATTATAATAGACGTAGGAATTACTATAGAGGAGATAAGAATAATAGAAGTCCGCTAGAATAAGCTAAAGCTAAAAGAGACCGCGACCCCTAGTATAGAGGGCAAGGAATTATTTAATTAAAAGGTTAATATTATTAAACTTATAGTTAGGCATTATAGTAGGGCGGTAGCCTAATCGTAAGAGCTACTATATATCCTTATAAAGCTTAATAATCTAGAAAGTAAGGTAATAGAAGTAATAATAGATATAGGGTTAGAGAGAAATATTATTTCCTAGGAGCTTATAAAAGCCTATAGCCTTTAAATTACCCCGGCTTATACCTTAATTATATTTTTCTCTTAAGACCGCATTATAATATTAGGCTAAATAATTATCTAGCTATACCTAGGTAATATATAGATATAATAG